TCAAAATCATATGAAAGGAAGAAGAGGTTGGGATATGCAAATGATTAGTATTTCAGTGCATTTAGACAATGCAGGAGGGACAAATGACATCTGAAGCACTGCATAAAAGAAAAGTTGTGCAGTGGATTTCTCATTCGGAAATCGCTTTGTAAGGTCGGGGTTTCATCAGAATATTGTGTTATGCCTCGAATAAGAAGAAGAAATGCTTACCAGCAAGTGTTAGAATTTGATAGAGGCAGGATCATCGAAAATAAATTACACCGATATAAATTCAGCAAAATTTAATAAAATAAAAACGTTTTCAATCATTTTTCAATGATCATCATCAGTTACAAAAATAGAACAGTAAATATAGAACATAAAATGCGTTCAAAATACGTTTTGGTTATATATTTTATGATGCCAAAGTCTATGCCAGCCAAAATCTATAGGAAACTAGCACTTAAATTGTGCAAGGCAAGAGCTCAGTATTTCGAACGCATTTTATGTTCTATATTTACTGTTCTATTTTTGTAACTGATGATGATCGTTGAAAAACGATTGAAAACGTTTTTATTTTATTAAATTTTGCTGGATTTATATCGGTGTAATTTATTTTCAACTTATTCTACTTCCAGTACGTTTTGGTTATATATGGCAGGATCATTGCCTGTCGAGAGTGTGGATTATTGTTCTGTGATATTGCCACTCGCACGGGTCGAAATCCAACCACTGTTATGCGAATATGGAATCGATGGGTTGCTGAGGGTCTTACTGAACAGCATGCAGGATATCAACACCCTCCCATGACTAATGCCCGAGAGGACAGACATATTGTGAGGTCGGCCGTGCAAAACCATACAACCACATCACGGACCATTAGTCAGGAAATGAGCTTGTTTGCAGTACGCCCAGTATCTGCTCGTACAGTGCAATGACATTTGCACTGTAGAGCAGATACTGTCAACACGGCGACCATTACTTCGGCTTTCCTTGACAATGCAGCATAGAGAGAGATGGCGACTCTGGTGTGCTCAACGACAAAGCTGGATACAGGAGTGGCACAATGTCATCTTTTCAGATGAATCCCAGTTCTGTGTGCAGCATTCTGATGGCCGTATACGTGTCTGAAGGCTTCGAGCAGACCGCTCGTCACCTGCCTTCATTTGATATTGGCTTAGGGGCTCTGCACCTGGTGTGATGATATGGGCAGCCATTGGGTACACGACATGCACATCTCTAGTTCGGATCGATGGTAATTTGAACGCAGATCGGTATATTTCTGACATCTTACATCCAGTGTTTGTGCCCTATCTTCGAGGCCTGCAAAACGCAATCTTCCAACAAGATAATGTAAGACCTCATGTTCCACATTGTGTTCTGACCTTCCTCAATACAGAGGATATTCAATTGTTGCCCTGGCCTGCATGGTCTCCAGATCTCTCACCAATTGAAAACATCTGGTCATGGGTTGCTGAGAGACTGGCCTGCCACCCCTCTCCTGCTAATATAGTTGATGAAGTATGGCATGGACTTAAAGCAGCATGGAATGAATTGCCCGTTTCTGTCATCCAAGCCCAGTTCGACTCCATGCTTAAACGGATAAGGGCCGTTTTAGCTGCCGGAGGTGGCAACTGTATCTACTAATTTCGCCAAACTGCTTGCAAATTTAATCATTTTGTCTTTATGCCATACTGTTTATGTACAATAAATATCTTTTTTTTATTTGCTTTCCTTCTTGGTGTTGCAATTTTAATGGCCAGCAGTGTATAATTATTTTTATCAAATTTAATATAAATATATTATAAATTCATTTTGATATTTATTTTGAATAATTGTTGATAATTTATACAGTGGAACCTCACTTAACGAGCATAATTCATTCCAGAATCGTACTTGTAATGCAAAACACTCGTTAAGTGAAACAATTTTTCCCATATAAATTCATGTAGAATATGATAATGGGTTCAATGCTGAAAAAAATACTCAAATATTTTATTAATATGTATAACATTTATTCAAAGAAAATTATACAATATACATTGTTAAGGAATGTGAATCATCATTTCTTCTAGTGCAGAATGAACCAACCTGGAATGCAAATTCGATTTGCAGAAAACAAAAAAAAAATTGAAATTTAATTTGGAATTGGTCATTAAATTTAATACAAGATGGCAGCATAACTGCCTACCTCTAGTCAAATTATTGAATTGCTAATATTTAGTTATAGCTTTTACATAGCTCAAGAATTTGGCATATCGTTTGGCATGTTTATTATATAACAGGCTATGGTTGTTGTTGTTTATATGTAATATGTCTGAACACAAGTTTGGAAAAACGTGTGATCACAAATGACACTTAAGATGCTAAAGGGACAAGTGCTAAACACAGATTGATGTAACATGTGCACAATCTAGGAGTTCCTCTCTTCTTGTCACTCGTTATGTGAAATGTCGCTTGTTAAGCGAGTCATTTTTTTACAATTTGTTTTGCTCATTGTACAAATTACTTGTTATGAGAGGTGCACATTAAGCAAGATTCCACAGTAACTGATAGTTAAATTGCATTTAGACAGAGTATATTTATTTTTGTAAAAATAATAATTATTGTGTGTATTATTTAGTATCTAAAATCTGAAATTAAATCTTAATTAAAATGATATTTAATTCATTTAGTATTAATATTATTACAACTTTTTGCTAGAACAGGATTTTAATTAACTATATACAGTATATTTTAATAATATTGCCATGTACAGTTATCTATTTACAATCCTATAAATAATTTTAAATAGATGGCAACACTGTCTCAAACAGGTTGTTGTAACCATTTTTGAAATTTGTTTTGTGTCAGCCAATCTTTATTAAATTTACAAGTTCACTTCCCTTTTTTTGGGGGGTTTTCAGTTTCTTGAGTTATCATATTAAATAATTAAATAATTAAAATAGAAATTATAAACTTGTAAACTGAAACTGTCACATTCACTTTACAATAGGTTTGTTCCAAACAAGTCTCTAACTGGTTTAAATTTGAAACTGTACAAGGCATGTGCACTGTCATTTTACAGTCAAGAACTGAACAATATGCATGCCAGTTTTAAACCAGTTAGGGACTTGTGTTGGAACAAACCTGATATTTGCCAGAGATATTTGCAAGTTAGAATTTTAAAAGTACATTTTCTGTCACTCTTAGCCTAGGGATAAGATGGAGATAAGAAAGTTTGAGTGGGGGTATAAAGTTAAAGTCTTTAACTGTTAAAATAAAATACTCATAAAAATTTTTATAAATTTATTTTGTTTTATCATAATTTCACAATTTCTTCAAAAACTGGACAAATTAATAATTAATCCGGACCATGAATCTGAAAACTGGCTGGTGTCCGGTTGAAAACCGGCCTGGTGGCAACACTACTGTCAACTGAGACTCTGTAATCTTTTGTTTAAGATTGGACAACATTAAACAAATGGGGGCTGTGCCCACCCAGTTAATCTGGTGCCCTCCAGAAAATTACAGCCGAAAAAGTGTTGAGCTAATTTGTAAAAAGAAATAAAAAGTTGAAGCTAATTTAATTGGGTGTAGTGTACCGCGGCCCACAATTAATCTCTGAATATTGGACTGAACTTCAAATAATTGCTTGAATGGATCCGCGATAATTCTCTGCAACCTGACAATGTGAAGTTATAGGAAAGTTGAGAAATTCTGATCCTAAAAAAAAAACATAAAAAAAGGTCAACGGCTTTCTGTGCCCAATGTGAAAAGTGTATCTGTAATCTCTATGTACAGTTTAGTCTCTACGGAGTGACGCCACAATAAGATCTCGCATCACCTGAAAATCTTGCTAGGGCCACCTCTGGTTTAGACAGTGAAAAAAGTTTTCTTTCCAATTTGGCCCAGAGGAAAAACTGTTGGCCACCCCTGGTCTATATCTAGATTAAAGATGGTGAACTATATTAAAGAGTGGTAAAAAAAAATAATTGATTGGTTAATTTTTGTTTAAGGCATTGCTAGAGTTTGATATTAATGTTATGAGAACGTATGATTAAAGGAAGTTTCATATTTTATGTGTGTTAAGTTATTGTCTATTCTTATGGAAACTTCATTCTAATAAACAATAATTTGAAATAATTCAATTTTGTGTCAGGTTAGCCTCTACTAGGCCCCCCCATAACAAAACTCTGGCTATGCCAATGCCTGCAGCCCAATGCTGTAATGTATGCACCCCAACATAAAATAAACTTCCTTAAAGCATTGAGAGCTTTATGTACATATTTCTTAATTTTTTGAAATTTGCTTGGCATTATAATATTTTTTATTAAAAAAATTTTCACAAGATGCCATTAGTATACACTTATAAAGAGTCTTTTAAAATGTATATGGGTGTGTTTCCTAGTAAAGCCACTTAAAACTGCTTTGTTAAAAGGCAGTTAAGCTATTTCTGCTTTAAGTTAGCCATTGTAGAGCTAGTGCAGTGAGGTTTACAAGTGCTGAAGACAGAAGTTAAGATGGCTGTTATCATAAATTATATGCATATTATGCACATACTGTACCTCAAATGAAAAGATTTGGCTAATTTGTGCCAAAATGGGCTACCAATTTTTTTAGTTTGGCTCACAAAAAGTTATTTGTTGCATTGGCTACATTTTTGGCTACATAAAGTATTTTGTCATTTGTTTTGGCCTAGAACAGCATATCTACTCATGTCACCTTTACATGTAGTTTTATAGTTTGTGTGGGGCCTGAGACAATTTTTTTTCTACAAATGTGGTTTTAGAAAGCCAAAAGGTTGGACACCTATGGCTTAAGATAAGTAAATTTTATTTTTATCTATTCTGTTTGTTAAATATGAGAATTTTTTGAAACGCTTAAAAGTGTTTTTCTTCAAAAAAATAAAAGAAAGGAAGTCAACTGATAATTGACTTCCTTTCTTTTATAAATGTATCTAAAAAGTTATTTTTACAATTCATTAATAGAAAAAAGATGATATAATTTTATAATTTCATTTCATACATTTAAAATTTCAGGTGCTCATGGACCACCAGATATTATTTATGGAAATGAGCCATATTTGTTGATTAGAAATACAGCCAAAGTAATTTTTTCCTTAATATTAATTTCATTTTATTTATATCAAGTGAAATTTATGATGAAATAATAATCTTTGTTTAGGAAGTTTTGGATGAATTGTATAGTGAAACCACATTTTCAAATGAATCTTTGGAATCCAAAGAAAGTGAGTTTATTTAATAAAAATTACAGATTTATTAAATATTTATATAAGATATGAACTATAGAATCAAAAATATCTTTCATTCATATTATAAATTTATTTGTCTAGCAATGTTATCACAATTAAATACAAACAGCTAAGTTTATTATTTAATTATAAATTGCACTTTTGCAGTTTTATTAGGGAGATATTATATATACAATTCATTAATGTTTTAAACTAATTTCAGTCAAGTTTGCATAAGTTCACACCCCAACGAAGTGGAAATGTGTCGAGTTATCTGATATGACGACTAAAACAAAGTTGGAAAAACCACAAAACTACAATTAAGAAAATACAGTAGTGCTTTATACAGTACATTCAATGTATCTCTCTGACTATCCATCATTGGCACTAAAGTTGGTTTCTATTTCAAGTACCTCAGTGATTTCCATTGCTTTTTGTTTCAGTATTGGACTTGAAACAGGAAGATTTGATGAACAAGTTTGCTTTAGCCAACATACCAGAGCATCTTCAACATCTTTGTACAGCAATTTTCTCTCGTTTTCAAGACAGCCATGATGAAGACTCAAGAAAAAGTTTCTTAATATCCTCTTTTTTCTTCAGAATTCCCACCAATGCTGTTCTTGGAAGGTTTTTTGTTTTGCAAATTGTTGTGAAGTTTTATTATATTCAAATTCAGATACAAGTTCGTATTTTTCCTTTAGCATAAGCATTATTAGGTTTTGGATACTCATTTCTAACAGAAATGTGAAACACTTGCTGCAAATAACAAATGAATGAAAGATGAGAAAATGTAAAATTGGATTCTGCTGTGATGTTAAGCTGTGTGGTATGAACTCATTTTTCTCAGGAAGGGATTCAACTTATCAGATGTCTCAACAAGTGTGGGACAGAAAAAGTATGATGATTTATCCTGTGGTGATGAGTTAAATGGTATTGAGTAAACCAGAGTTTTTCTAACATTAATGCCTATGTAAGTTGGCTGGGACTACAGAAAACTGACTACTTAACTGATGGTGTCTTGTTATACCTATGACAACTTATGCAGACTCGACTGTATTTTCAAACAATTAAGTATATATGTTCCTTAGTAGTAAGTCCAAAAATTAAGATTGATATACTTTAAATATAACAATATACAGTGGGTGATTGGTTAATGAACATAGTCCCATTCCAAGACCATGTTCGCTACTCGAATTGTTCATTAATCAATTTTCGATTTACCACAGATTTTTATGGTATTTGATTAATTTGTTCTGGAGACCCCCAAAAAATAAAAAAGTTATATACTTTCTTACTATGTTTATTTACACATAATAACAAACTAAAAGCAATCTCTCCATTTTTTTCATGAATGGCACATCTTTGTTTCTTAGATATTATTTTTCCTTTATCTTAGGAAAAATCATATCTTGAGTCTTTTTGATTATATCTTTCTTAGCTAAGATAGTGCTTACTGTAGACCTGTTGAAGCCATACTGCTTGATGACATCAGACATCTTTTCACCCTCTACCTTGGCTATTATCTCTTGCTTAGTTTTTATAGTGAATACAGTTTTTGACACACTACTCTTTTTAGGCCCCATAATATTATCAGTTTTCTTAAATAAAAAGTTCAGAAAAGCACTTACAAACATTCAGAGAACAGAAATTAACTAGTGCAAAAAAAGTTATGTATACAACTGTGAAAGTCTCATTCCATAAACCATTCATAGATGTCATTAAAATATAGTTTTATAAATGTTAAACGCAGCATCGCTTCTTCTTGTTTGTTCTGTGAACTGTTCATTATCTGAACATGTGTTTGTTGTTTGAACATAAAAATCTTTGGTGAAAGTGTTTGTTGTTCAATTTGTTCACAGTCCAAACTGTTCATTAACCAATCACCTACTGTATATAAATAATCTTTAAATTATTCTTTCAAATAAATTTGAACTTTTTCAATTGTAAACAAAAAGTGGGTTTTTTTTTCATTACTTGTGTAAAGAATTTAAATGGAGTTAAATATTTTAATCTAAAGAGAGCAAACAATTAAATACTCTCAAGTTAACTAGTTAACAGTATATAACAGTTTAGAACTAACAGTTTAATCTTAATAATTCTTCAATAATTAAAAAAAAATCTGCCTTTTATGTTTGTCTAATGCCAAACATATAAAAGGCAAGATCAATCATATTGTTTATTTCATATCTTCTTGAAAGATCTATTTTACATATTTTTTTTATTCACAAAATATTTTCTTTAACTGAGGCAAGTTTTTTGTTTAATAAGGGATTCGGATTTTGTCTAGGACCTCACATGTGTTACATGTTAGATCTTACTTGCATTATAAATAGATAGAGTAAATAGTCTGACACAAAATTAAGTTCAGTGGAGAAAGTTTTTTGCCACTGGTCCAGAGAAGGCTGAAAATTTGAGTGGAAAAGATCCTAGGAAGATGATCAGAACCACAGAAAGTTCCCAATTGATGGTTTTTTCTAGCTTGTGGCATCAGTTTACACCAACTAATTGACTGATAGACCTATCTCCTTTTTCTCCAGCTTCTTGGCTGTCTGCTAATGAATCTGTTGGTCCTGTCCATTATAGGAACCAGTCAAATGTTTTTTGCTGTTGTTTCTGGTTGAAAGAAGAAGGATGACATGGTGCCATTATCACAAGAACAATCACATTTTGAAAGGTTTTTTAATTTGTGGACATGAAAATGATCTTTTCTTCCAAAATATACTAAATCTACATTAAAATTAAATTTATCATTAGATTGCAGTCTAACCACTTGCCTATAGTCAAATTGTTTTATATGTAATCATTAAATTAACCTTGTTACAGTCCAATGAATAATCTGGTATTTTGGTTTGATAATAGCACTGGATTATAGCACTGGATAAGTTCAAATGGCTCAATTGAGTTGTACGTATATCCCCAAGTCTTTACCTAGTAAATTTTTTCTTTGGAAAATCCAAAATGTATGAAATCAATTATTAAATGTATGTTATGTGCAAAAGCATATCTGATTACTTGTATTATAAGTAATGAAATATTTTTAGCTATGCAGTTTTGTGATTGCACAGATAGTGTGTGAATTGTTGCTAAAGATAGTTGTTTTGAGTNCAAGTACCTCAGTGATTTCCATTGCTTTTTGTTTCAGTATTGGACTTGAAACAGGAAGATTTGATGAACAAGTTTGCTTTAGCCAACATACCAGAGCATCTTCAACATCTTTGTACAGCAATTTTCTCTCGTTTTCAAGACAGCCATGATGAAGACTCTCTTGAGTCTTCATCATGGCTGTTTCTATGCATATGCAGTTTCATATGCAGTTTCATATGCAGTTTTGTGATTGCACAGATAGTGTGTGAATTGTTGCTAAAGATAGTTGTTTTGAGTCTGTAAAGTGAATATGTAAGTATAAATAACTTCTAGTGTTTTCCATATATTTTTGATGTCTTTTCTCACTATATAATTCATTTTTTTTTTTTTTTTTTGTTTTCCAATTCTTTTGAAATGCATTGAGAGCAAAAGTTATTTATTTTATCATCTTTCACAATCTTGCAATTGACACTGTTGCCATTACATACTAAGATAGTAATCACTTCTATTAACATAGAGGAAAAGTGTTGCATATTTTATTGCCAATTAGAGTATTGTTTTTAACACTGTGTAATTAGTGAGTGTATCCAATTATTTTAAATCAAAATAATTTTTAACACACTAGTTTCAGCCATTATAAGTACAGATGGTCATACATTGGAACTAACTGCAATGTTTTTATATATTGGTTGAATTTACTCTGTAATTAGTTTCATTCAGAGAAAATTATAAATTAGTCAAAAATTATGTTAGCATCACTAAGTCTATTTTGTTATTTTGTATTTTACTACAAGAATAACATAAATATTATTCTATTTATTTTTTTTAATTAGATAAGATGGTTCTCAGTGGTTATGGTAGTAGTGCATCAATAGGAAAAATGCATGGATTTGGTAATACTTTTCAAACATCTGGTGAGTTTCAAAAATGCATAGTATTTTATCTTGTTATTCTCTGATATGTGATATATTTTATATTTAAATTTAATTATATATATATATATATATATATATATATATATTAAAATCCAGAAAATGTAAGAGAAAAAATGGCAAAGGGAATTTCTTCTGTAATGGATAAACTTCTTGTAGAAGACAAAAATCCAAAACTTCAAAATGAATTTTTGACTGAAAGGTTTTTACAATATCAGCCAGTAACAATAGAACATCAGGGATATGAAAATTCTGTTGAAAGTGTTAGTTCAGAACTTAAAAAAGAACAACAAAATACATTAACAAAGCCAAAGATTCAGAGAAGTATGCTTATGTAATTCTAATTTTTAATTCACTGAATATTATTTGTTTATTAAAAATTTTCATTTTTAGAACATATGCCAGGAAAGGCTGGAGGCGGTTGGGATGATGATGATTATAAAGAGAATCAAGATAGTAAGGACATAATTGCAGAAAGCAACACATCTAAAGATTCATTAGATAGGTAATAATTAAGGGCTTACTTTTCTCACACTCTAAATTATAAAATTTTGCAGAAATTTCAGATTACAAACATAGTTTTTTTGATGAATTTTATGCAATTGTAAGACATCATCATCATCATCATAATAATACTTTATTTACAAAGACCTCTGCCTCGCAGAGCACTGCAGAGGTTAAAATACAACTATAAATGAGATAATAAGGCAAAAGGGTTACATAATTACTGATATATACATACATACAGTTATAAAAATAGAAGATATATACAGGAGTAATCACAGCACACTATATACACAACTGATACAATACAATACCACTAGCAAAATAAAATATACTTACACAGGAGAGGTAGATTTACCAAAATAGATTTACTAAAACGTGGTGAATTGTAAAATAAAACATAAGAATTAACAGGTGCATGACAAGGCACATAATACACATATAGCACATAGGAGTAAAAGATGAAACGTAGAAGTACAATAATAATCTTTCGAATTAGTTAGTGGAGTGACATTAGGACAAAAGATAACACACATGGCTATCAATAAGACAGACTAAATATATACACATATAGACAAAGGCAGCACTATAGTGCTACTAACAAAACATACAGATTACATATATACTTTTGACAATGGGATGAGGCTAGAAAACACAGCACCTTTATAGAGGCCTTTTATTATTGCCCATACACTTAAAATAGTCTTTGATGAGGCTTTTGAATTCCTGAAATAGTGCCATTCTTTATAAACTCGTGGGGGGCAAGGCCAGTGTATGCCAGCTGCAGCAGTAAGAAGTTGGAGCTTCAGCCTATTGCTTTCAGTCACTGGGCACTAGTAGATGTAGTGCAGTGGCCCATCCTCCATATTGCAAATGGTGCAGTTACCTTCTTCTTGAATTTTGAATCTTCGCAGGTAGCTGGCAAATGACCCATGCCCAGTCAGAAACTGAACTTCCTCATGGGTGAAGAAGTATCTATTTTGGCCTATGTTGTCAAAGATACTTGGGAAAAAAAGATGAGTAGTTGCGCCTGCCTGTGTTTTCATTGTTCCAGTTGTGTTCCCAAGTGCAGTTACACTCTCTCCTAAAAATAGCTCTAGCACTATTCTGTTATTGCATGGGGAGCATAAACACCTTTACTGTCCTCAGCAGCCTGCCTGGCCAGAGCATCTGCTCTGTCATTCCTAAGCAGACCCTGGTGCCCTCTAACCCAGGAAAGGGCATAGTTGTTGTTACTCTCCAATGCCAAATGATTAATTTTGCTGACAGTACTTAGAATACATTTGATATCTGGATGATGTGAGTAGAGAAGGCTGAGTCAGTATATGTATTGATAGCTTGATGGTTAAAATTGTCATTGCACCAGGCCAGGGCCTGATGGATAGCACATATCTCTGCCTGCAAGACAGTGCAATTGTTGTTTAGATGGCACTGTTTGTGAAAAATTTCCTCACCACTTTTGTACACCATAAATGCACACCCCACCTTGTCATTTAGCTTAGATCTATTAGTATAAACACAAATGTCACTGTCACTGAATAGAACATCACACAAAATAGGCAACATGTAGGTAGGTGGAAGATCTATGCTGACGTTTTCCTCTATTGTGTTGTCTCCTAGCAGGTGGTTGATGGTAGCGTTGTGATATTGTCACTTGAAGCGAGTTGCATCCAGGCAATAGTCTTGATGGACAGGTAGATTGGCTGCTTGCCTGTAATTATCTGTAGGGCTGTGTTTGCAGTCGTCCTGTAGGCTCTGGAGATAGTGAGCAAGCCCTTCCTTTGGGTGGTTATCAGTCACCATCTGATGTGCACCTTATTAATGTCTTCTACCCAGACAGACGAGGCATAGCTGATGATGGGCAAAAAAAAAACTTGTAAGACATAAAATACATATGAATAATGCACTTAAACTGGAATTGTATAATCAGTTTAAGTGCATTATTTTTTGTTTGATTTACTTATGGTGATGCCAATCAAGTGCTGCAGAAAAGCTGTTCTATCCCTAACCAGAATAAGAGAGAAGCTGATGTACATATGAACAGTGGCATGCCGTGACATTTGATGATAGGGAAGCTGTGTTTCTGTAAGAAGCCAACATCCAGGGGCAATCAGTTAGTTGCTTGTCAGTGATGGTCTAGGGTCCATTCGTATCATTTATTCGATAAGCCAGTACAAACTGTAGACTTTTCTACATGTATTTTTAATATAATTACATTCCGAATTGCTAGCCACGATATAAGGGCTACAATTGAAAATAAAATGATAAAAATCACTCCTGGTACAAAACATTCTTCAATTGTATGAATTATACTTTTAAAGAAAATTATAATTAAATATAGCTTTGTAAAGAAATGTACATAAAAATATAAAATATTCTTTACTTTTTTAAATCTTAAAACAATCCACTTAGTCAAATAGCTCCATACGAATGGATAGAATCGGAGACGGTTGCAAAGCGTGCATACATGCGGACTGTCAAATCCCCAGGGTGCCGATACCGGTCAATGTCAAATGCCTCTTTTGTCGCATCACTAGTATGTCTTAAAGGAGGTGACAGGGCTGTTGTAGATTTTAAACGTTTCTCACCATAGCTGTAAAAATCTAAATATGTTAAACTTAATAGTCATTTGTTTTCTAACTAATTCGTTTTAGGACCAAGTGTCCTCAGAAATTTCCAAAATTTACAACTTTTCGATTACTCTCATTAAACTGGAAAAATTTCTGTCTTTATTACATTAATTAATTAATTAATAATAAGAAGAAATCAGTCTCCACTGTACTCGGCTAGAGATGGTTTGGTTAAGCTTTTGCTTAAGTAAAATTTTGGCTCTTTCATCAGGGTTTTGTTTATGTCCCAATTCCCTAATTGCTTAATTATTTAACTACTTTTTAAGTAGAAGTAAGTTGAAATCAGTTACTTTGTACTCGAATATTTGTAGTCTCAGGAAAAAAGTGGAAAGACAAATTTAACATTGTACAAGAATTGTACATGTTTCTTTCTACATCCTCTTAAAGATGGGATATACAAAATCATAATATCACTGGTTTAACATTGAAATCCGTGAGTAATATAAAGTCGGAGAGCGGAATGAAAATATCAAATATTTTAATGAATTTTTTAAACTCCTGTCAACTATACAGAACTATCATAAAAACATACCAGTAAATTCTTATTGGTTGGGTTAAGTTATAAATCTACTCGCGATTCACATAATGGGGCGAGGGCGGCCAAATATCTAGCAGGCAGGCAGCTAACAGCCCAGAACCGGTCCTGGATAGAATTGGATGCGGTATACATGTAGCATTCACCCGAGGTCCTAGGCTTCCACCGGCTAAACCGAGTGAGGTTGGTGCTCTGTAAAGCGTGTGCTTGAATCTGGATTTTTGGATGCTGACGATACAGCACTTCCACTCCGTCACTAATATTCGAATATACAATATCAATCTTATTTTTTTTCCACATGAAGTATAGAAATTTGTAATAAGATACATAATGTGGTTATAATAAAATATTGTGTGATTATTTTCATATAATTAAAGTTAATATGTATTTATTTTTTAGAAAATACAAAGGATGCTGCGCATCCACCGCTTCCAATGACGGCACGCCACTGCATATGAACCTGGTGTTTTACAAAAAATTTGATTTTAAATCATAAATTCTTATAATTCAATCTAACACACACAACCATAACTTACAGAACTCTAGACCTAGTCTGTACAGATATTTTTTACTGAAAAATGTCATAAAAGCTGCATTGCTTTTTCTGGCATTCCTTATCTTTGAGAGGTGAACACTTGGTTATATCAGGAAATTTCTCCACTTCAACAGAATTTGTAAGGACACCTAAATATTTATGTGCCAAATTGGAAAGAACAGAAAATTTTTCAGCAATAGTTGGCATTTTCCAAACCTTTACAAATGAAATGAATTCATGTATGTTTCAAGTGAGAAATTTCAGCTTGCAGTGAAGAGATGGAAAGATTACCTGTAAAGGAAACTGCTGAAATTGGAAAAACTTCTTTTAGCATGGATATTTTGTTAGGACAAAAGATAAGGGAAAACTTCAGCAACTGCATACCTGGCTGAATGAAATTTGAGCATTATCTTGAAACAGTAGCTATATCTTGGCTTGAATAATTGGCATCAGGATAATATATAATGAACTTTGCCAATGATTGCAAAAATACTTCCTGTAAAAAGTTGTTTCTTTCTGGAGAATGGAAATATTTTTCTTTAGCCTTGGAATCAATCCAGTACATCACACTTAATTTTTTCATATGCTTGGTGAATTGTCACCTAGCAAGATTCAAATCAGGTTGTGAGTGACTGCAGCTTGGAGAAGTATGTTCAGCAATAAATTTCAAATCTTCTGAAAAGAACTTGCTATCAAGCATCTCTTGTAATTCTTTCAACATTGTTGTTTCAAGAATAGTTTTCTATTTCATTTCTACATTGCTATAAATTGCAGTGATTGGCATGGTAACTAACTGCTGCAATTCATGTATTACACCCTATTACTACAGGTTCTGGAGGAAACTGTTTCTTGCAAATGGAGAGAAAAAGCTAGAGATACCTCACTTTCTTGTCTTCATACATGCTACAAATTACATGCCAATGTCAATTATAAATTGTCATGGCATGTAATTTGACTATTAGGAGAAGATATGGCTTCTATTTCCAATGATCTAAGGGAGAGAAGGATAGCATCATTATTATAAATGTGTTTTATTTTTTATACTTTGACAGAGGTCTGCAGTGGTTATACTATTCATTTTCAAAATAATCATCTAACGAAAGACTTTTGTTACTATTCTGTATATTAATATACCTCATATACACACGAAACAATTTGCACTTTAAAACAATTTAAAAAGTTAAAAGTTATTTAAATTATAAAATGCATATATATTAACACAATTACTATCAAACAAATGATTAGTCTCATGCAAGGGAATTTTTAAAGTTCAATGATATTTATATGCATTATTCTTCAAGTTTTTCTTTTTAGAAGCATTATAAAAAGCATTAAAATTTATTTGATAGTTTTATTATATACTAATCACTCATTTCATTTCAAACTTAGCATTAATTAGCATTTCAATATATACAAATTTTGAAATATTAATTTATGATATTTGAGGTGGAGCATTAGCAAAGCCTCTTCTTTGAAGCTTTACAGAATGGTGTTCATTCTCAAAATCTGTTCAATTGATTTTTATTAAACTTTGCTATTTTCCATCTGTCAAGGAATCCAAAAATGCAATAAAAAATGGGGATCCATGACTTTGTTTTTAAGATACAAGATTGTTTCACAAGTGTGCATGACAAAGCAACATTGCATAAATTGTGTGACTTTGTCATGCAACGTTTTACAGTTGCTAACATGTCTTCTAGGGGCTTTGCTATAGAATTAAATTCATTCTCAAAATTTAATGAGCTGATTTTGATGAATCTTTGCCATTTTCCATTATTTGAGGTGAGGAATTCAAAAATATAATGACAGTCCATTTAAATATTAAAAAATAGGGATTGAGGGGTTTTCAATGTACAGAGGACTTAAACTGACAATGTCTGTGCTTTCTGATGCAACTGAGCATATCTAATGGAATTTAGACCTAGGAATAAAAAATAGAAACAGCATTGTATGTGCCTAATGGAAAATAGGTGTGAAAATGAACAAAACACAAGAAAAAAGCAATTGATGAGGATTGCTTTGTTCTTTGATTGCCTCTTCATGTTAGCAAGTGCAAGAATTATATCTCTCTGTACCTGACCAGTGCAAGGATCATGACTCCTGTAGCCTGCAGGTACTGTACAAGGATTGCTTCTTTTGTGCCTAACAAGTGCAGGGATAGCTTCTTTATTTCAGGCTCTGTCTCAACTCTATCACAATGGGACAAAATTGTGTGATATCCTATTAATAAAGTGGAAACTCTGAATATAAATGTATTAATATATATGTTTATAACTTAAAAAATTTTGAAGTAAATTTAGTGTCTAATATCATTAATTTTATATTTTTTAAATATTTTATACATAGTAACTATTTGTAATTTTAATATTCTTTATTACTAGAATTGTATTATGAATGATAAATATGATCTGATAATATTTTTGTCAATACTTTGATGTGTTTAACCTGCAATGGCATATAACTTGCAAAAAATTGTTAGATTGAAAATAAAATCTTTGCATTTTCTGCTGTACCATTTACCCTGCACTTATGGAGCAGCCATTGCTCCATAAGAGTGAGTTTGTAATTGCAATTTAAAATAAGTGGATAACTTACTCTATCACATAATCCATATTCCCTTTCAAATTGTTTTTTAAACACAGATAACCCAAGGTTATACGTATGTAACAAATAAGAGATTTGATTTGAAGTTTTGATATTAAACAGAGAATATGAACTGATTAGTATTACTATAATTAGATTGAAAAATTATTGTATTAATTTAGTTTGTTTTCAGATATTAGATATGTTAAATTGATTATATTTATAATTCTTCTATTGGAATATCAGAACTGAACCATTGTCTCAAGCAGACTGTACTGAAGAACAGAAAGTTGTGGATCAATTTACACATTCATCTGCATGCTTTCCTCCAACATTTTCTGAAATTGTTGAAGCTAGAAAACAGTTGGTTTTGTTCATTTATCTCATATTTTCTAAATAATTTATATGCCGTTAATTTTATATCTTTTTTTACAGTTGTTCATATTTGAATTGTGACAAGATAATTGATTTACTTGCACAAAAATTTCAATTACCAGAAATTGATGTTAAAATGGTAAAGTTATATTCATATTTATTTCTTAATAGTTAAGATACTACTAATTTGTAAAAGTCTTTATATCTAATATCTTACATTATCTCATTAATAAATTTTTATAATTAAATTAATATATATTAAATGATGGTTTATGTTTAGATGTTGATAAACATTGTAATGAAAATTTAGAGACAGTGGAAAAATTAAAAATCTTAAGTTTTCTGCTTTGTTTGCTTTAATCATAATAAAGTACATTCTATAGTTAAAATTGCATATAAGATTTAAATTGAAATATATTGTTGTTTTGCTGTTAGTAAGCAGCATAACATACTAATGGAAATGTCTCTTATCATCTTTTTCACCTGAATCCTTCATATTTTTGATTGTTATGTGTATATATACACTGAATGATTATTACATTAGTAAAACCTGCTTAATAATGGGTTGGTCCATCTTTCTGGGTGATCACAGCTTCCAAACACCAGAGATGGACTGTACAAGGTCCTGAACATTCTCAATTCTTAACTCGATCCGTGCCTGCTCGAGCAATTTTGTCAGTTGGTGCATATTTCATGGAAGAGTGAGTGACAACCTCACACACATTTCAGCATATCACAATCATGTGTAATAGGGTTGCAGTATGGTGAGTTTGGCAGCCAAAGCAGTGTATGGAATTAATTGCTGTGTTTCTCCAACCATATGCAAATTAGCCTTGCCTGATAACATGTGCATTATGTTGAAATATGGCCTGTTTGTCAGGAAACATAATCTGGAGATATGGATGTAGATGATCACCTAAGATTCCTGTATTGTTCATCATTCAAGAATTGTAGGATGTCAAGCAATGGCCCTGTGCCTTGCCAAGAGAATGCTCTTCAGACCATGATATCACCATCAGATGCTTGTGGAACCCCAATTTTGCAATCAATGGATATAGCTTCATGCTGTTTAAGCCAGATTTGGATTCTGCCATCAATATGGTTCACATGAATCGAGACTCTTTACTCTAAATAACCTTCTTCTACATATCCAAAATTCAATGACAGCTTTTCATTGTCCATGCAAGATGATGTTTGCAATTTTGCATCGTCAACAAAGGCACCTGTGTAGGTCAATAGCTATTAAACCACAGCTAAAGTAAGGTATGTCACTGGAATTAATTAAATAAAATAAACAAACATTTTTCTCTATTCCATAGAGAATAGAGAAAGGTGTTTGTTTATTTTAAAGTATGTCACATGGTCATTATTGAAATTTGTCTTGTCTGCTGTTGTATTGGTGGGTAAGGTGTTCCACTGTGACACATCTTTATTCAGATGCCAGTCTGGACATGTGACACACCTTTGGGATCAACCACATGTGGCTGGTCACTGTGTGATCTGGTGGATGTTTGTGCATGATCTATCCACTCATGGTACACTCTGGACATGAGAACAATGAACTAATGCAGCTGTTTCAGAAGTACTAGTACCTACCCTGAGGCCTTGATGATCTGTCTGTGCCCCATTTGCCCATGATTGGCAACTATTGCCTTCTACTATGTAAATAACAGATCAACACATCACAGTTGCAGCAAATTGTGATGTGACAATTACAAGATATCACTTTACCACTTCCGAGATAGTGCTGACCTGATAGATGTTTCTAATGCAGTGATCATTCAGTATATATATATATAAATGATCTCTCAACTAACACTGATTTGATATAATGCAGTCTGCTCAAAGCCTAAAAATAGGCTGAAAATTTACACTGATTCAAATTATTGTGGCATTTTGTTGGTTTGTATATAATACGATTATTCACAAACATGAACTAACCAGCAAAAAGTGTAATTCATTGTAGTGTGCTACTTCCCCTAAATCTATGTTTGGTACAATTGTGGAAAAAATAACATCATGAATGCCATAGGCAATATCGACTTTGCATGGCAGGAATTAACTGATGAATGCATGAACGCAGTGGCGTACTGTAGTGGGGGCGGCAGGGGTGGCCCACCCCGGATGGCACTTTTTAGGGGAGCGGCAAAATTTCACAATAAATAATAATAATATCTTGTAAAAATTTGAAACATCCTAATCTATACTTGCATCGTGCCTACGATAGTGCTATCGTCCGGACAGTCCGGGAAGCGGCTTATTGGGTGAACTAGTAACTTTTTCGTCCGAGGAATTCCTGCGAAACTTGTTGACCTTTTTTTTTTCTTGTACAATTCATTTGCGTTCATATACACCACTAATATCCAATAGAACTATTTTAAACAGGTCGCTGCACTACCACTGAATTTTTCATTGCTTGTTCTGTGACAAAACTGAATTTTGGTTTTTTAAATTGAAATACCTAAATAAGGGGGGGGCAAAATTTTCCTCCGCCCTGGGCGGCTGGCACCCACGGTACGCCACTGCATGAACGGAGTGTGGAAGAAGATATGGCTGAAGGTGTCCAAGGATTCTCAACAAGAAGAGCCTATCATTGACCAAATTGTCAACCTAATTGATATATTAGGACTAGGAGATGTAGATGAGCAGGATATTGAGGAGTTAATGCAGGTTTCTGATGAGAACCTTACCAATGACAATCTTCAAGAACTGGCAGATTGGCAATAGTGATTCTGAAAATGAAGAACCCAAAGAACTTGCTACAGATTTCCTTAGTAAAAGTTTGATAATGATAAAGTTGTTGATCAAATTAAAGTGAATGATCCAGATTTTGAAAGGAGTGAAAAAACAAGATGAGGCATTTTGAATGCGATCTCCTGTTACCAACATTTGCTTAATGAAAGAAAAAAAAAACAACAAATAACACTAGATGACTTCATTGCAAAAAAATCAAGAATTTCAGAAAAGCCAGGATCTTCATCACAAAAATGAACTTTACATTTCTGTGTGCATATGTTTATGTGTTATTTAACATATATTATCATGCAAATTAATATAAAAATAACTTAAAATTAAAGTAAAATCTGTTNTGCAAAAAAATCAAGAATTTCAGAAAAGCCAGGATCTTCATCACAAAAATGAACTTTACATTTCTGTGTGCATATGTTTATGTGTTATTTAACATATATTATCATGCAAATTAATATAAAAATAACTTAAAATTAAAGTAAAATTTGTTTAGTTTTGGTTGCATGTTTCCCCTTTCCTATTTACTGTGTGCTAAAATGACCTCATTTAATGCTGTTTCATTTAGCACTTTGTCATCTAGGAATGCATCCTAAGCACTAAACGAGGTTTTACTGTATATACACTGAATATATAATATAACATTGATAATCTCAAATAGCAAATAACATTCGTCACACTACTTGAAATATTTTAAACAAATGTGATGCATATGTTAACCTTCAATGTTTACTTTTACTGCCTGGTGAAGATTTTTATAAAATGGTGGCAAAATGTCCCAGTTTTAATATAAAAAAAACTGAGGTATTTCTTGTGGAGATACTATAAAAATCCACTTCATAGTTTTCCACTAATTAAGCATGCCTGGTATGCTGCAAACTACTAAAAGAAAGAATTATTACTTTCAAATGTCAATAACACCTGTTTTCCAATAACAATTGTAAAAAAAAAAGTGCACCTGTAAGAAGATTTTGTTTATAAAATATACTAAAAATGTAATATGTTTTTTCTGTAAATGTTTTTATGACAATTATCACACAAGAATTTGTCTGTGATGAATTTGTCATCAATTCATTGTCATTGTTCCTCTGTGTGTACAGTGGAACAACAACAACAACAACAACAATGATGATGATGATGAATAAGTCTGATTGATTGAAATTCTTTCAGAAAGAGTATATATGTTCTATGTAATAACATTATAGAAATATACTTTTAGACGTTTTTATATTTATCCATTTATTAAATAATACTAAATATAGCAATTTGCTTTATTAAGTAGGCCCCTTACCAAATAATAAGTAGTATTATTTTTATTTGGTAAGGGGCAGAATTGTTCCTTGAGGTTCACAAAATGACGAACAGGTTGCAGAATGAAGCTACAACACAGAGGACGGCAGCACCATCAGTAACAAGATGGTGCTGCTGTCCTCTATCAGCATGCATCGCTGTAGAGCAGCAATCTTTGATGTATTTTTTGAGTAGCAAAGATGTCAAACCTATTGAAATTCATTGCAGGATGACAGCACAGTACAGTGATTCCTGTTTGTCCCTGCAGCAATTGTACGAGTGGTGCAGAAAGTTTCAAAGTGGTGTAACTTCTGTGTAGGATATCTGTTGTCTGGGGCAAGCTCACCACAGACAAAAACATTGTGTTAGTGGAAGAGCTTTTAAAGGCGTATGAGTTTGAATGAAATAGCCACAATTTTAGAGATTAGTTTTGGTTCAGTACAGAATATTGTTCATAATGTGCTGCAATTCAATAAAGTGTCTGCAAGATGGGTTCCACATTCGACAGTTCAGACTATCCAAGATGTCAAATTTGAATGTTTCATACACCCACCTTATTCACCAGACTTCGCTCCTAGTGACTTTCATGTGTTCAGGCTGCTTAAAGAAGTGATGGGTGGCAAGTATTTCAGAAGTGATGAAGAGATGAAAACAGTGGTGCACAAGTGGCTACAGTCATGACCAAAGGATTTCTTTAAACATGGTATTCATGCACTTTTGAAATGATGGAATACATGCATTCAACGTCATGGAGACTCTGTTGAAAAATGATATGTATGATTTTTTCTTAATTGTTACAATACAAAATGTATAGCACTTTTAAGATTTTAATTTCATACAGCCTTGTATTTTGAAAGTGTACCAATTTAATCATTGGCATCACATTTTTTAAAAATACTTCAAGTATTGTGTAATGATTATTATTTCATACTTGAAATTGTATTATTATTATTATTATTATTATTCATAATTATAATAATAATAAAAATA